TTTTTGCAAGTTTACTATGTAGGGACGGATTGGCCTTGACAATACGGAAGAAAATGCCAGTTCCCGAATTAAGATACCCCTTTAAAACATAGTTTAATGTGTGTTTTCCTTAAAATAGTATAACATCTAAAGTAGCAAAATATAATAAAGTGAATTAAGAATACTTAAAATTAAGCATTTAATAAAAATTTTAAGTCAACTTTGAAGAACTAAAGAGAATTAATTAATTTAAATAATAATAGATAATAGATAAAGAATGAAATCGGAACTGAGACATAGTGTATATAGAAGAACTATAGCCACAACTTCAAAAGCTACGAGTATTATGTGGAAATTATTTTATTCATATTAGTTCTTTGGAGTCCGCTTTTAATTACTAATAAATAAAAAAATTTCAAAAAATCCCCTATTTTCCCTGTTAGGGGTAGAACATTTTCTCATAGTTTATATGAGGTCACTTTTTATAGAGTAATAGTGACAAACGGGCACGCAGTCTACCTGATGGTAAGTGGATATTTTAGCCCAAGTCCATAGACATCTACATTTATCCTCGATTAAGAATCAAACTGCAAAAAGGTTATGCCTCATTACCAGTAAAAAGGGTCTTCGGTTCTAGCTCACATTGCGAAACACAGCATTATTCTGATGATTGATGCTGGTATTCTGTGATAGCGTGGTCCTACCCGGTCGAACCATATAGCTGTAGCGTGGCTCTACCATGTAAGAATGTAAACTAAGACATTAAAATGTACTACTTCTGAAATGTATTTAATAAAAGTAGGATTATTAATTCGGGTTGTTCCCTACTCATCCGATTAGGTATGTTGTTTTTTACTCAACCTAAACTATACTCTTAACTCAACCGATAACATTTTTCTTAATGATTTCTTATATTTACGCGAACCCGATACATTGATTAAAACTACTTCTACGGATTTTATCGCGTTTTATTTATTTTATGTTTAATACCCGACGTTTCGGTTCCTTTCCAGCACCCATGGTCACGGGGGCTGAAGTGACTGACGTTCCGATGTCAAAGTTAACCCGGATTACCTTCAGCTTTTTAATTATTGTCTTTGGTCCAAACTACGCAGAATGAACTTATTGTGTTTGAAGTCTTGCAGTTATGCTTGGATTTAGTTTTAATTTTATTAATTAAAGGGTCCCAAGCAGGTGGTAGTACCCAGTCTCCTTTTCTATTGAAATTAGGATGTATTTTAATTTCAACAACCTCACGTATCTTTCTTGGTAGGAAACGATGTTCTTTCGCGGGGATTTGTGGTCTATCAAATCTGATTTAATGATTGGGGCCGTCTAGGATATGATTACAAACTGCAAACTTCCCGGAACGTTAAATGAATTAACATTGATTGATATATATTAATTAAAACAAAAAAAAATTACTACCTTTTATCATTCTTGACCCGTCCCTTCCTAGGTTCGTGCGATGGTGGTTCCGACTCGTCCCAGGTTAAGGCGTTGCGTTGCAGCGTGTTGGGGAGACTAAAAGAGCCTTTTCCAAAATCACAGATAAATCTATTAAATTTTTTGCCATCTATTTTGTTCCCAAAAGTATAAGAAAGATAAGAAAATGAGGGTGAAAGAAGAAGGGAGGAGTCAATCTTCCTGATCCTCCAAGTGTTTCTGTTGTATCTGTTTCCTATTGAACCAGACCAAATAAAATGCGGTAAGCACGTGAAGGAAGAACTCCTCAGACTTGCCTTAGGGATCATCACAACCTGCGCTCTCTCCCAGAGTCATTCGCCAGACTGCTCGCCGGACAGGAGAGCAGAATTGATGTCAACCTAGTCCTACTAAAAAAGAAAAAGTAAGAGTTAGGAGTAGAGTAAAAAAAAGTAAAGTAAAGTTACAGCCTATATACGTCCCACTGCTGGGCTCAGGCCTCCCCTCATTTCTGAGAGGGTTTAGGGCAAGGAAGTGTCCGCCGCGCTGCCCAAATGCGTGTTGACGAACTTCACATGTCTTCGAAATATTTTTTTTCTTATTCCTCAGACACGCAGGTTTCCTCACGATGTTTTCCTTCACCGCCAAGCACGTGGTAAATCAGCACTTAAAATTGCAATTAACAATTTCATTGGTGCCAGCGGGGATCGAACCCGGGTTACTCGCGTTCTGTTATATTTACAGCGAGCGTTAACCACTGAGCTACCACGGCTCTAGGAGTAGAGTAATCCCCGCTAATACCACCTGCTTGTTATAATTTTTTTTAAATTCTTTATTAATGAGCTTATTCACAATATGAAATATGTCCGTTAATTCATCACCAAAAAAAAACAATTACATTAGGTATACTTAAAGTTATTACATTATAAAGTTCTCAAATCAATAATTAATTACAGAAAGTTGAAGAAGATATGCATTTAGTAACAAAAAGTAAAACGAAAAGTTCCCAGATCAATCACATTGAGAAGTGAGTGATCGATCCGAGAACTTCACCTTGTAAAATTTGACTAATACTTTTATATCTTCAGAATTTGCCTTAGCTAAAATTATATTACAATCAGCGAAATCTTTTAAAATGTGGGGGCATTTATCAATACGAAAGGCAGCGTTGTGGGCACAATCCATCAAGACATGCATTAGGTCCTCTGGAACACCGCATTGATCACAGTTCGATGACTGGACCTTTTTCATAAGGAATGCAAACTTTCTAGATGGAATGTGTCTAGTACGAAGCCTCATTATCACTAATGCATCCTGTCGCGATAGCTTATGGTTATCAATCCATGGTATTTTAGGCGGATGTGGCTATACCGTCTTGTACCAAATACTCTTTTCTTTTGAACGTAAATCGAAATATTCTTTCCATAGGTTGTAACATAGCCTTTTTATAATACAAATACAATGAGTGTAATGGGGTAATATGTTGTATTCGATGCCATCCGTAATAGCCTGTCTAGCCAAGATATCTACTCGCTCATTATATTCCACGCTTTTGACCTGGATGCACTGCAATTTCATCGATTTTGACCTGGATGTTAACCCATGTATAAATATCCAGAACGGTGTAGGCTATCGGTGTGCCTCGTGTACCCAAGGTGCACCGAGCCAAGTGTTGGTGTGCGCTTCTTGAGTCTGTCAATATCACAATATTACCTTGTGGTAGTGATGCAGCGTCTGATAGTGCTTCACATATTGCTACTAGCTCAGCCTCCATGATGCATATACTACTATCTATCTTAAATTGTATGCTAAGATTACATTGTGGGTCAAAAAAGGCTGCACCGATTCCGCCTGAATCTTTAGAGCCGTCTGTAAATATTTTATAATAATTTTCATACTGCCTATTAATGTAGTCCAAACTTACTTTTAGACTAAAATTGTTGTAATTTCGTTTAGCTTGTGCAATACACGAAATATTTAAATCAACTATGTTATTTAAACCTATGTTACTGACCCATGTACTTATATTAAACATTTCTAATTTTTGACTACTGTGAATAGGGGTATCAACGAAGTGATCATAAACAGATAATAGTAAAAGTTTCTTTTTATTACGCCAATATTTATTGTTTCTAAAATGTGCTAATTCATTCAATATTTTTAGTGTGATGTTATTTCTTATTGATTTAGCTTTTAAGATGAATTTCCTTGACAAAAAGGTTCTTCTTACATTTAGTGGAAGTAGACATAGCTCACTCTCAATTGTATGTATAGGAGTAGTTTTAATGAATCCTCCGATTACTCGTAATGTAAGATTTTGTATTTTTTCTAACTTACTTAAATACTTTTGACAGCTGTTATCGAATAAATAACTCCCATAATCTAGCCTACTTCTTACAACGGCAATATATAGCTTCTTACTATGTATTCCCCAACCAGGTCCTACAAAAAGTTTGAATATGTTTAAAAATCTAGAAATTTTGTTCGTTAACTCCGTAATATGTTTATTCCATTTCAAAGACCGGTCTAGCCACATCCTTAAATACTTGACTGTGTTCACTACTTCTATATTATTATCATTAACACTTACTGAAATAGCTTGCCTACGTATACCTTTTTTTAAATACAGATCTTTGTTTTAGACATTGAAATCTCCAAACCTAAATCTATGAGCACACCATACATTTTATTTAAAAACAATTGTAATTTAAGTATCATTTAAATTTTTACCGGAAGTATATAACACATAATCATCAGCATACTGAGAAATACATACATTAGGATTAATTTGTATACAAATATGAATAGTTGCAATATTAAATAGTAGTGGAGCGATAGGGTCACCCTGAGCAATTCCTCGACTTGTAGATCTAGATAAAATAACATTGTCCACCTGGACACTTAAGTAGCGTTCCTTTAAGAAGATCCATAAATATTTACAAACTTTTGAACCAGCACCTAATCGATCCAAATTTACTAACATAGCCGTAATATCTACGTTATTGTACGCATTCTCTACATCAATAAAGCAACCTATTGTGATTTGATCTTTTGAAAATCTCAATTGTATTCTACTGACTAAATTACTAAGATTATCCAGGCATGATTTTGTTTTCCTAAATCCAGTAGTCTCTTCGTAAAATAGATTTTCATTTTCCATCAACCATTCCAATCTATTTCTCAACATAGCATGGAAGATTTTACTCAGGCACATAAGTGAAATAGGTCGAAGCGATGATAAAGATGAAGTGTCACGCCCTGTTTTTGGGATTGGTATAATACGTATTTCTCGCTATTGGAGTGGTACAAAACTTAGGGAGTAAAACAAATTAAATAGTTTGAGTAAAATTACATGCGTTTTTGGGAAGATGTTTGATCATGAAATAGGATATATTATCCACACCTGGAGAAGTATCTTTTGTTTTAAAACAGCACGTTAGTTTGCTCATTGAAAAAGGAGAGTCAATTTCAGTGTTACGAGATGAAAAAGCAGGGTTTTTTGGACAAACAAAGTCTGGAGTCAAATGTGTAAAAGCTCATTTGCAATTGTTTTTCCACGCACAGGTACACAAAAATCAACATAACTCCTATTTGTATTAGAACACCCATAATTCCTGTTCTAACCACTTCATTTTTTGCCACATGCCGTGTACAGTAATAGACTCATCAATCGAAGAGCAAAAATTAGAGAAAGATTTTCTAGTTTCCTTTCTAATTAGCTGTTGTGAAATTCTAATTTTATCTTTTAATTTATCTAAGTTATCAGGAGTAGGGTTTTTCCTAAATAAATCAAGAGCTAGGCGCCTTTCTGCAACAGATTTAGATAAGTTGGTATTCCAATATACTTTAGGATAAAAATGTTGTGAGGGATCTTGGCTGGTTCTGTGAAAAGAAATATGAGCATCAGCGACTTCATTGACCATATTATGAAATGAATCGTAATTTTTCTGCGGATCATTATTGATAAAAGCAAAACTTGAAAATTTATATTCTAAATATGAGCTATATCCATCCCAGTTTGCTTTCTTATAGTTCCTTTTCTTTCGAAATTGATGGTGACTATTGTGATATGATAAATTAATCTTAACAATCAAATGATCACTACCCAATGACTCATTAGTAACCTTCCAATCTAACTGCAACGCTAAATCCGAAGAAGAAATAGAAATGTCAGGGGATAACTCCTGTACTATTCCGTTTACTAATTTAACGCGAGTAGCTGTGCCATCATTCAAGGAAACAAAATTATTTTCCATTAAAGAGTCAAAAATATTCGTACCTCTTAAATCAGCCTTACAAGACCGGCTTGGATAATGCCCATTTTAGTCCCCAAGAATCAATGTTTTGTTAGTTTTAAAGGAAAACATTTCATCCCAGTCATCCTGAGAAGTTCGTATGGTAGGTGAACAATATATAAAGAGTATGTAATCTATATGTGTACAGTTAAAAATCTTAATACAAATTATTTCAATTCCGGAATTAGAAATTTGGATAGATATCAGTCGAGTCTTTAAAGACTTGTAATATTTTTATATATAAATCAACAATATAAATATGTGAACAAATAGCAACCCCACCATACGAATCATCTCGGTCCTTGCGGTAAATATTGTAACCTGTTATTTTAAGCATAACTTCAGCATTCAACCATGTCTCACAAATGGCAGCAATATGAATTTTCTCGCTATTTAACAACTGGTCGAATTCTGTACGTTTGGGCTTAATACTTTGTGAGTTCCACTGAAAAATGTTTATGTTGTAATTACTATTCATTATTGACTAAAAAAGCTTTTAAAAGGCAAATCCCAAATGCATTGCCCCACCATCGGTACTAACTATTCAATAATTAATGACATTCCTTGAATCATTTTTTTCTTAATTTGTTCTTGTGAATTTGTAAATATAGCATATAACTTAGAAAGTAACTGCCTAAAATTAAAAGTTGATTTAAGCTTCTCTCTTCTCTCTTTTTTCTTTTTTCTTGATTGGAGCTCACTTTCTATATTATTATCATTATTATTGATTACTTCTTCTGATTCTGTAGATATATCGTTTTCAAACACTTCATTCTGATTTTGCTTCTTTTTCCTTTTTCTCTTTGTACTTATAGTTTTTTCTTGTAAAGTTTGCGAAACCTCCATAGCACCCGATTGTGATGTTAATGGTATTGATTTAGTGTTAGAAGTAATTTCAGAACGTAAGCGCGGTACCGATCGAGTAACGTTTGCGTAAGACATTACCCCATCTTCGTTTTGTGAGATAGAGGACACAGGTATGGGTTCAGGCATATTATTATATAAAGGTGTATTTGGGTTGAGATGTCTTTGAGCCGTCTTTAATATAGTTGTTTCTTGTTCTACTTGTACAGGTTGAGGTTCTGGAGGAATATAAATTTGTAAGGCCTTTTTATATGAGCAATTGAATTCAGTCATTAAACTCCTTAGAGGTTTTCCTTTTATAAATATAGGACAAGATCTATCCAACGACATGTGACTCCCGATACAGTTAATACATCTAAATGTTGTGATCTCATAATTAGCATGCCCCTTTCCACACTTAGGGCATACAATCTTTTTAGAGGGGCAAACACGTAGGCTATGACCGAACCTCCAACACCTTGAGCATTGAGTGACTGGGAAGACATAGGGGTCGACGTTAATCTTCATGCCGTAAATGTATACTGATGCTAGCAACGATGAGCCCTTAAATTGCGACCGTATTCATTCACTATCTTCTCATCCCTTTCCATCCGTTTTTCTGCGCTTTAAGCGTTTTACACCAATTAGCTCGCCATCACTTGAAATTACCTCCAACATTTCTTTTTCAGACATCTCCAGCTCAATATCCTTAATGACACCGTATGAAAAAGCAACCTCTAATGGCTTTTGAAATCTCCATCCTAACTCCTTCAAAGGTGTACAGTTCATCAGCTCATCAGCACTTTCTGCACATTCAAACTGCACACATACTTTATACGCGTTCACATATTTCACACGGCTGATATGCTTAATATTATTGGTTTTTAAAAGTTTTGCAAGTGCAAACTGTTTAGGTAATTTTTCAAAGCAATTAATAGATACATCAACTTTCTACCCCACTCTCTTCCCACTTCTTGAAACCGTAATCCACCTTTCTTCCTCATCCTCTTCTCTGCGTCTCTTACTACTAATAGGTCTAACCTCATCGTAAATCATTGCTTCACATTGAGCGGATTTCTCTGCTAAACAAATCTCCGTTTCCTGTTCATTGTTTTCAATTAGAATAGAATTCATCGCCTCCTCTTCCGAAATTTGATTTTCATCCATGGTGATCAGAGTACACCAATGAATGTCCTACAATTAAAGCATGGCACACCACGCAGGCACGTTGTTAACCGCCGAAGGAAATATATATTACAGAAATATATTATTTTAATTAAAATATAAGATAGTTGTCACCTGTCACTTTTACTTTTTTCTTGTTATAGATGGCGAGCATTAAAAGAAACAGGTTCCAGCTTCTTTTTTAATAACAGGTCTAGTGTTACGAAGTCACCAGTTTACTAATCTTTTACTTTTTAATTCTTTTTATTATTGATTTTAATGGAGCCTGTTATTTATATTGTTCATTTATATATAAAAATATTATTTCCCCCTTATGAATTTTTATTTCACAACGAAATATATTATTTAAAAATTTATTTCAGCAAAATTTTTAAGCAGACCACACACACAAGTATTGGTATTTTTATTATGGTTTCACAATCAGTGGAGTTAGATAATACTCATAGGGTGAAATAAGAATTTGAACTCATATAATTTCTGTAGGTTGAATGAGGAATACAAATCGGTTGAGTAAGGAAAAAAATATCGTAGGAAATGAAATCATATGATGAACACGTAATAACCCATTAATTCTATTTATATTTAATAGATCATTATTTTTTTTAATAATATTATTTCATTTTATTTTTACAATATTTACAATTTATATTCATAATAATAAGAAAAAACTATTATATAGAAAAACTAAAACTAAAAATTTTAATTGTCATAAAGACCTGCTCCCGGTGGTATCGTGCCAAGAACGCTGGTTGCGTTTCTTCGCTGAATGGCTATACTTAGCCTTTGAGCGAGAAAAGAACCAACCCTCTTATCACCAGCAGCGACGACCAGCCATGGATACAGTTCCTTTAGGAACTTCACTGCACGTGGACCCCACGGGCCGATAGTCTCTACAGCAAATGGCACAAATATTAAGTCTAAAGGACTCATATTTGCGCCATTTACTTAATTTAGCTGCCTCTGATGCCACTCCGGCTCTAAAAGAGGTACCCTTGAAATGAGAGCCAAAGTGTCAACTCAGGTAGCATCTCACACTAGAGCTTTACCTGTCTCCCAAGGGATCAAAGTCATACCGCTCTGCCATCTCTCTAAATTCCCCCCAGGGAATATTTATGAAGGCAAGAGCCCTTCGGATGACTTTGTTCAAAGAACCGTTTCGGGAAAATCTACCTGTACTTTTCTTACATGAAAATCCGTGGAGCCCAAACTCTCGACGCTGCTCCCATAGGGGCACTGGTTAAGCTGACAAATTGCCGCTCCTAGACAGATTCCTACGGCGATGCGCAAGCTTTCCCCATCAAGCAATGTGCCGAGATTACTTGATGGATTCAGCGTGTAACCAGTGACTAGATTTCTAAGTCGAAACAGCTAGAAGGCGAGCCTGATCTTGGTCACTGTGGAAATTGTGAAACAAATCTTTCTGGACACTTCGTACCAACGGAATATCCCACTGTTTTTGTTGGTTAACTTCCAGTAGGACATTTTCATCGGGACAGAGCGCTAGCCATGTTTGCCTTGCCTCCGCAGCAAAGCACAGGTCTACTTTATTATTTAAAATTATACATACTATATATATATATATATATATATATATATGTGTGTGTGTGTGTATATATATATAACTCATTGACACTATGGACGGAAGCAAAGAAAGCAAGCAATGCGACGCTAGAAAGATTTGTTACACCAATACCACCATATTTTATAGGTAGTTTCTTACATCAATACCACCAAGTTTTAAAGTAGTTAAAGTATTTAATCTCAAATTTAGAATTTTTTCTAAAGCTATTTTAAGATTATTATCAATATCTTTTAAAATATCCGAACATTTCCCGACTGAACTTGAGCGTATTAAGTATGTAAATTTAGGTACAAGGAGACAATATTTTAAAATAGTAAAGGTAATATGGAGGTTTAGGATATACAATTTATCAACGTGATTTAAAAATTGATCAAATTTTGTTTTTAAAACAGGTTTAATTCTATCGAAAAATAACGGAGCACCGAGATGGTAAAGCGATTCCGCATTGACAGTGTTTATTCCTGGAGAAATATAATTGAAATTTTGAATTACAAGTATCTCTGTTAGAATTAAATAAGAACTGAGTGAACTAAGGAATATCACAATTTTAATATTGTCTTAATTATTATTTTTAAAAATTTCATCTCCGATATTTTGCCACCAGTAGGGGTGGAATTATTTCTTCAATTTTTTGTGGCACCTCCCTTGAGTATGACCTATTAAATAAAATAAGATTTTTCATACTTGGTTTACAATATATAGTAACTGGATGACCGACCTTTCCTCGGTATTTTTTAGTCGTGTGTTTTGGAAATTATATTTAGATATAAATTACATACTGATGAAACATGAATAATATTTTTGATCTTATCAACATAATAGAAAAAACTGAACTGGTTATTTAAATAAAAAATCATGAGTGCAATTAGTTTAATTTAAATTTTCATTGAATAAAACTAAATTTACGGATTTTATCGCGTTTATTTCACTACTTTTACTTATTTTTAATTCCCGACGTTTCGGGTGCTTTACAGCAACCATGGTCACGGGGGGGACTGAGATGTTTGACGTCCCAATGTCATAGTTAGTTCGGCTACCTTCAGTTTTTGAATATTAATTTTTGGTCCGATTTACGCAAAACGAGCTTATAGTATCATGAAGTCTTGCAGTGGTATGCTTAGGTTTGGGTTTAATTTTGTTAATTATAGGATCCCAAGCAGGTGGCAGCACCCATCCATCTTCTCTATTGAAATTTGGATGTTTTTTAATTTCAATAGCCTCGCATATCATCCTTGGTAGGAATCGGTGTTCTTTTGCGAGAATTTGTGGTTTATCAAAACGAATGTAATGGTGGGGACGATCTTGAACATGTTCGCAGACTGCAGACTTCAAGAAATCATTAAATTTTCATATTTTTAAAAAAATACTAAAAAAGGGCTTGAAATAATAGATTTTCTTACAAAAGAGGGAAACTTGACAAAAAAAAAAGGAATAGAAGTCAGACCGAAGACAGTATGTGAACCAGGCACTTCGATTTCGCGACGGCCCGATATCCACTTGGGCTATTATGATAGTTAATACAGCGTCAAAATTTACCTTCTTTTATTGTAGCAGTTTTTCATTGCCTGAAAACACGGACAAAACGACATTTTCTAAAAATGAATCCTAGCTAGATCGATTTATTGCCCCCGAAACCCCCTGAACACAAAATTTTATAAAAATCGTTGGAGTACATGATACGTAGCATACATATAAAAGTAACAGTCTAATTGTAAGTCTCCTCCTTTTTTTAAATCGGCTAAAAAGCAACCACCACGCCTACAAACAGTCGAAAAATTGCATAGCTACCTAACTTAAATAAAACCACGGATGTATTCTTGTTATATAAGGAAAAGCTCAATTTCGAGAGGTCCAGTATGAGCATATCGAGAAAAAGAAATCCGTTGCAATTTCACGCAACATAAACTTTGTGAGAACTTTTTGTCTGTTGATGACAAACGACAATTTCCTACTTTGCCTAATTGTCACAAGCCATTGTGGTGGTGCTTAGTTTATCGATATTTTTTGTCAGCTGGTACATCGGCCCAGTCACCTTGCACTTTCGATTTTGCTTACGTTACGCGACGAATCTGTACTGTCGATTAATCGAGTCTTTGTGTTGATGTCAATACACGGAGCTGATTCATAATAATTGATATAGTATTATCTAAGTGTCTGCTTCAAGAACTTAGAAATAAAATATGCCTTGAAAATTTTAAAGCCAACCTGCAACCTTGAAAATAAGTAGAACTAAATTTCGTTATTCCATTCCAATAAACATTATTACTGGCACTTTAAGATATATTTTTTGTTCCTAATATATTTTAAGAAAATATAATCGTTTTAATAATATAATGTCCTACAGACCGAACATCGGTCACGGCTGCCAGCCTCAACGGAGAGTAGCCATCGGCACAGGACAGGATTATAGTGCCCAAGTGTATGGGCAAGCACAGGTGCACTCTCTATTTTTTCACTCTCATAGTCCGATGGGACGGTAAACCGACACAACCGGAGAGAGATCAGGCGCAACACCAACGGCATAACGTGCTTTCCAAGGCACGGGGGTTTGACACCGCCAACTTGCTGACTCCAGGCAACTACTAAGAATCTCTTGACGGAAAAACTCAATAATTGATTTTATGGCTCGACCCGGGATTTGAACCTAGGACCTCATAACCACTAGATCAACGAGGCAGTCTAATAATATAATTAACTAACTTCAAAAAAAACATTCAATCAATGGGTAGGCGTTTGGCAGAAAAAAGCGCTAGCAAGCGCTTACAAGCGCTGAAATAGTTTTCGGCCAGGACACGATTGCTACTTCAGTAGCGCTGACACAATCCGCCATTTTGCTTATTTAATTTGTTTGTTTTGAAGTAGAATTTATAAGTTGTTTTGTGCAATATTAGTTTTAAGTAATATATTGACATGAATAAACATATACATGTTATTAAAAATTCATAATCGGTAAGTTTTATATAGAAAACACATATAAAATGACCACGTAACTATGAATACTTTACAAACATATATTTAAATTAGGTTAGGTTCCCCGGTTAAAACTAACATCGTTTCCTAGAGGAAAATAGCTACTTACGATTTGACAGCGCTTACCGCTTACGATCGCCATTTTGCTTACAAGCACTTGCTAGCGCTTTTTTCTGTCAAACGCACCCATTATATTGTGACAGAGTAATTTTAAACACGACAAAAACTTTATATCGATATTTTCTTATCAAATTGAAGTGACAATCGAACTCATAGTCCATTTGATGGTACGTGGCTACTAAAGCCCATAGACACTTGGAACCAGCTTCAGACATTGAAGACCACATTTTTTTTTATTAACTGGCTTTACAGCTCTGGGTACCCCTTCTGAACCTATTATTTCTTTCGGAATCTTCATTTTTATATTCTT